CGGACCGTGGAGGACGTGCTCACGCCCCTCGAAGACTGCTTCATGCTGGACGCCAGCACCGTGCTGGACTTCGGCGTCCTGGCCAGCATCATGCAGAGCGGCCACACGCGCATCCCCGTGTACGAGGAGGAGCGCTCCAATATCGTGGACATGCTCTACCTCAAGGACTTGGCCTTCGTGGATCCTGAAGACTGCACGCCGCTCAGCACCATCACTCGTTTCTACAACCATCCGCTCCACTTCGTCTTCAACGACACCAAGCTGGACGCTGTCCTGGAGGAGTTCAAGCGAGGTAACATCCCGGGCATGGTGCAGGGGACGCCTGTGCCAGTGCCCTCTCCCTGAAAAGGGATGGAGAGTTATGAAAGCCTTCAGGAAAGGGTCCCACCCCCGTGGCGTGCGGTGAGACTTCTAAGGTCCCTTTTCAAGACGGTATTGGCCTTGCAGGTTGGAATCACCTTTTGAAATACTTCAAGGCCATCCATCAGAGTGGGAGGAATCCTTTAGACAGCGAACACTTTTAACCCCCGCGTCAGGATGGCACCCCTATACATATCCTATTTGCAGGGAAGGGTATGTCCGCTTGGCTCTAATCCCCCAGCTCTTCCCCTCTCCCAGAGCGTTTCTGTGTGCTTGTCTTTGTAGCAGGTCCAAATGTTTGGATAGAAACTAGAAGAACACAGAGAAGAGGGTAGTCTCCAGGTATCTGGGACGTTGTGGCCCGCACACATGTAATATCAAATTGACTGAACGTGTGATGTTTCCTTCAGAGCGTTCTTAAGGTCTCTGGCTTTACTGCAGATAAGGGTATTTAGGTGTCAATGTCTTATCTGCAGTAAAGCCAGGGAAACTTACACTTTGCTTTCCCCAAAAGTAACCCCACGGATGCTGACTTAGTCTCCCTTTCTCTCGGCTCTGTCGCCCAGGCTGGAGTGCAGTGGCGCGTTCTCGGTTCACTGCAACCTTCGCCTCCCAGGTTCAAGCAATTCTCCTGCCTCAGCCTTCCGGGTAGCTGGGACTACAGGTGCACGCGCCACCATGCCCAGCTAATTTTTGTATTTTTAGTAGAGACGGGGTTTCACCCCGTTGGCCAGGCTGGTCTTGAACTCCTAACCAGGTAATCCACTTGCCTCACTCTCCCAAAGTGCTGGGATTGCAGGCGTGAGCCACTGTACCTGGCCTTTTTTTTTTTTTTTGCTTTTTAATCTCCTGTTTTTAAAAAATTTTATATAGAGACAGGGTGTCACTATTTTGCACAGTCTGGTCTCAAACTCCTGGCCTCAAGTGATCCTCCCACCTTAGCCTCCCAAAGTGTTGGGATTACAGGCGTGAGCCACTGCACCCAGCCTAACCTACTCTTTTCTATCTGTAAGGTTTCAAGTTCTCCCTTCACTCCACATTTTCATCCCTCCTTTCACTCTGTTTTATCTAAGCAGTTCGGAGATTGAAGGTAAAACCGATACTCCCCAGATGTGAAGGTGTGGTTTCCTCTGTAGTCCTCCCCAGCGTCATCCTTAGGGGTGCTCCCCAGAGTTTGGTGCTCACACCTTGGCCAACAGCCATGCTTCTCACACCTGCACTCCTGTAGGGTGAGGGTGGGGGCACCCCAGGGTAGTGGATGGGCTTGACCCTAAAGGCTGTCTGCTGTGAGACCGAGAAGTGGCAAAGCCTCCTGGTATTTGTGGCAGGACGTCTCTGGCACTGTCTGTCGAGAGTCTCTGGCACTGTCTGTCGAGAGCCCCTGGCCTGTCGGTGCAGGAAGCCAGGCTTTGTGGTAATGACTGCTACTCCTGACTGAGCACTGCTGTGTGCGAGGAGCTGATGGGCACTCTCTGTAATCTCGTCCCTTATTCCTTGCAGGAGGCCTGGGTGCTAAGTTACTGTCATTACTGTAGCTCAGGAAGGGGTGGTGGGAGGCTTGGGTGGGCAGCTCTAACTATTCTCTTAGACTGTTGGGTGCTCCTGGCTGTGTCCCTAGAACATGGCCATGCCACCCTGCCCTGGGGAGGGAGCCTGGGCTTGGGTCCAGACAGAGCCTCGTGGTGGTAAGTACTCCATGTGGGCTGCCGGAGCCCGAGGCAGGGGTGGTTCTCCTGGTGTGGTGGCCAACAGTGCAACCCTGGAATCAACGGAGTAGGTTCCATCCTGCCCTTGCCTGCTCCCAGCCCCGGTAGGCTGCTCAGCCTCTTGTAGCGCAGGCTCCTCTGCTGCTAGTGATCAGAGTGGGTAAGTGCACCTGCGGCGGAGACTCATCAAGCACTTTGGCCAGTGCCTGGCATGCACGTGCTGTGTGCTTGGCGTTAGCAGGCTTTGCTGGTAGGTGAGCCGTTTCCCAGTCCAGGCGCAAGGGGTGAACCTGGAAGTGCAGATTTCCGTTTCTTCCAGGCAGGTCACCAGACTTCCTTCTTTTTAGGGAAAATGTGGAAGACTGTAGCTGTCCCTTTGGTGGTCTAAGCACTCACGTTTCTAGGTTCTTTAAGAAAACGCGGCCGGGCGCGGTGGCTCAAGCCTGTAATCCCAGCACTTTGGGAGGCCGAGACGGGCGGATCACGAGGTCAGGAGATCGAGACCATCCTGGCTAACCCCGTGAAACCCCGTCTCTACTAAAAAATACAAAAAACTAGCCGGGCGAGGTGGCGGGCGCCTGCAGTCCCAGCTACTCGGGAGGCTGAGGCAGGAGAATGGCGTAAACCCGGGAGGCAGAGCTTGCAGTGAGCTGAGATCCGGCCACTGCACTCCAGCCTGGGTGACAGAGTGAGACTCTGTCTCCAAAAAAAAAAAAAAAAAAAAAAAAAAAAGAGATGTGCTGTGAGCATAAAACACACCAGATTCAGAGAGTGCAAAATAGACGAAATGTCTGTGTTTATTTTTTGGATTGATGCCATGTTGAAATGCTGTTTTGACTATATTGGGTTACTTACAATATAAAACTTAATTTTGTGTGTGTGTTTTGACTTTTCTAACGCAGCCATTCAGATTTTAAATTACTTAGGTGGCTTGCGTTCTGGTTTTTTCAGACGGGTCTAAAGTAGTGTGGATGAAAAGCACTTACCTGACACGGTAAATTCCTGAAGCCTCCCCAGCATTCCCCAACACTGTGACTTGGGCTTTTTCCCAGTTTACATTCCCTCACTAAGCAGACAAACCAAACAGGAAGCTAACCTGAGAAAGACATACAGGGTAAGGCGGAAGATCAGCCTGGGGCTCCTCCCCCTGCACAGCTTGACTCCTGAGTGGTCAGCTGCCACGTGTCTCATCCCCTGGTTCACAGACCCTGATGGGCAGCTCTAAGAATTAGGAAAACGAAAAGACACACAGACACACACACGCACACACACACACACAGTCTATCTATCTTTCTATCTCTTTTTCATTTCTATC